AAAAAAAAAGAAAAGAAAAAAGAAAAGAAAAGGAAAGGAAGAAAAGAAAAAGGAAAAGGAAAAAAAGAGATCCCAAACTAGAAACGGTCAAGACCGCCTTATCAGGACACATTCGGGATACTCCTAATCCTTACCTGGGCTGCGAAACAAATGTTTAAAAATTAGAAGTACCTGGGAAATCAACTTGGACGCATTATAAAACAGAATCTCCCACCGTCACCATTTTCACCAGTCATGGATAAATAAAAACCCAGCACTTAAGCTACTAGAAACTACATTTTAATTACAGAGCTGGGGTTTACATAATCGCAAATTACATAATACCGCTGTGCACTAAAAACCCTTCCATAGGTGAAGCTTCACACCATCCGGTCTTTTTAACATTTTCCAGAGAGGGCTGGAAAAGTCTGCTGAATAATTGAGGGGAGGGAGGGAATGGGGTGCTGGAAAAGTCACCCTTGACAAGCTGCACAGTCGACCAAACGTTCCAGTATAAAGAGGGACTCCGAGCAGGTGACTCCCCTGCGCCCCCGTGTCCGGGCATCTAAGGCCAAGGCAGGGCGAGCGGGCGCGGGGCGCAGGGCCGGGGCTTACCTGCTCCCCGAAGTCGATGGCTATGTTGGTGATGCCCAGGGGCACCAAGAACCGGATCAGGGGCCAGTAGTGCGTGAGCGCCGGGAATTTCACCATAGTCCCCGCCGTGGGCTGACCCCACACACATCTGCCGCCGCGAGGGGACTCTGCGGGGAGGCGAGGGGCGCGGGGCGAGCGGGGCGCGGGCCGACTGAGGCCGCGTGCGGCGGGGCCTCCGGCGGGGCGGCGGCTCCTCCTCGCGGCTGCGGCGCCTTCTCCGAGCGCGGCTGCTCTAGCAGGGGATCCGCAAGCTCAAGTCCATCCCTGCTGCCCTCCCACACAACAAAGATCTGCCGGGAAAAAAAAGAGGAGGGACGGCGGCGGCGGCGGCGGCAGAAGGTTCTGCTGACAGCGGCTCCATTATAAGCGCTCTGGGGCCCGGAAATAAATAACCGCGCGCACGAGGCGCCGCCGCCGCCGCCGCCGCCGCCCGGAGGAAATCAGGGGCGGGCGCGGAGGCGCGGACACTGCCGGCGGCCCCGGGGGCGGGCTGGGGAGGGGGCCGGGCCGGGCCGGGCGCGCCGCGGCCTCTTTCCCTGAGCCGCTGCCTGCGCTCTGCACGGCCGCTGGGGGCGCTGCGCTCGTTCAGGCCGCGGGGTGGGCGCCTCCGGGGCGCGGGGCGGGGCTCTCCGCGGAGCCTTGGCCGGCCCGGGGGCGGCGGCACTGAGGGCGCGGCGGGGACGGCCTGGGGACGCGGGGGCGCCGGCGGGGGGCGGGGGCGTTGGGTCGCCTAGAAGTCCCGGGGCGCCCCGGCTCCGCGGCCGGGCCCTGTCTCCCGCGTGCTGCGGGGCCGGGGACTGGGGTTCCCGCGCTGGGTTCCCCAGGAGGGCCCGGGCGTCTGGAAGACTTGGCAGCCGGGGCAAGCGACGTGGGCGCGGACGCGCGAGGGGGGCCGGGGCGCGGGACTCCGCACCGCGGGGCTGGGAAGGGCGCCGTCCCGCGGTGGCCGGGCTGGCGACGGGCGGGGACTGCGGAGGAGGCAGCTCTCGCCGGGGCTGGGGCCTGCTTCAGAGGACTAGCGGCCTGGGAGGGATGGAGGTGCCGCTCCGGGAGAGCGAAAGACGCGAGGAAAGGTCGCCCAGGAGGGAGCCTGTCACCCAGGGTTTCCAGGGGAGACTGTGGCCCGCGTCCCTGGGGAAAAAAATGCGCCAGGGCAGGAGGGAGCGATCCCTGCAGGCGCCCAGGCTGAGGCCGGCCGCCTTCTGGGGCGCTCAGACCTGCCTGCTGCAGGCAGTTTGCAAACAGTACGTCCGATTCTTTTCATTGCAAAAAAGCCCTATTAAAAATAACTCGTTAAGCCTATCATCTCTTAAATAAAGGGAAGAAGGAGAAAAGTGTGTTCTGTTTTGTAATACCTGATTTCAGAGTAACTAGTCGCGGCGCTGAGAGTTTGACCTAAAGCTCAGCAGTGTGACAGCAACGCCAGCATCCATCCCCGCACCCCAGCACTGTGTGCCGCGAGGGAGGAGGACCCAGGGAATGAAAAGGGACCCTGGACAGGGCTGGCTTCACGACCCTGCGACCTGTGCAGTCACAGAGTGCCCGCGCTTAGGACTAACTCGCTGCTGTTGCTCTCTTGAATTTGAATAAGGATCACTGCGTTTTCATTTTGTACTGGGCCTGGCATAGTAGTGGCCTATGGTGGTCTTATTTTGTACTCCCTCTCACACACATCTCTTTGTGTTTAATAAACATGATAAAGTAATTTATTATTAAAAGTAAGAAAGTGTCTTGTGCCTAGAATGGACCTATTAACTCACAATTTAGCTTTGTAAAGTTTTTGTAAATAGTGAGCTTGGGACCTCAATATCCTGGATTCAGGTATTTCCCAACTATTTTGAAAGTATTAAATGTGTCTATAGGCGGGGCGTGGTAGTGAGCGCCTGTAGTCCCAGCTACTCGAGAGACTGAGGCAGGAGAATTGCTTGAACCTGGGAGGTGGAGGTTGCAGTGAGCCGAGATTGCGCCACGGCACTCCAGCCTACATGACAGAGCAAGACTCCCTCTCGAAAAATAATAAATAATCCAGCACTTTGGGAGGCGGAGGCAGGTGGATCACTTGAGGTCGGGAGTTCGATACCAGCCTGAGCAACATGGAGAAACCCAGTCTCTATTAAAAATACAAAAAATTAACCGGGCGTGGTGGTGCATGCCTATAATCCCAGCTACTCGGGAGGCTGAGGCAGGAGAATCGCTTGAACCTGGGTGGCAGAGGTTGCAGTGAGCAGAGATTGCGCCATGGCACTACAGCCTGGACAAAAAGATCGCAACTCTGTCTCAAACTATAAAATAAATAAATAAATATTTTCATATTTTACATCCTTTTAAAATACCTTTTTGAAATTCCACACAACTTGAGCAGGCCTTGAGAAATAGGAAGCTAATTTTCCTTGTAGCTCTGATGTAACCTCAAATTACATTCCCTATAATTAAAATTAAACTAAGCCACCATGGCATGTGTATACCTATGTAACAATCCTGCAGGATCAGCACATGTACCCCAGAACTTAAAGTATAATTAAAAAATATATATATCAAAAAAAGAAATACCAAGCCGCATAATATTTATGTCATAAGACTTTATATTGCAGTAATAAAGATCTTAATTTATTTAAAAAAAATTAACTTTGGTAAGTATTTATTGTGTTAAATGTGTCCAATAGCAATGCTGTATTTAAAAGATTTCCCAGCAAAACAGGAGGTTAATGTGGATAGGACTGTCTTCAGGAGCAAGTTCCTGAAAGGTGTGTTTAAATATATTTGAATCTTACTTAAATATACAAAAGAGGAGCTTGTTATTTAAAGAAATTCTCTGGGAAAGAGTTCTTTTCTAAAGCAAATATCACCTCACGGTGTATCATTCTGTTATTCTAGGTTTCATGGGCTGACTCATTTTACTTAGAGCAATGTAATTACACTAACCTTTGTCTAGAATTGGGATTGATGAGGTCCTAGATCGATCCCCATCAAGTCCAGTTTCCTTTCACTGGTCTCTGGACAAGGACCGCCACAGCCCCGGCTGCCTGATGCAAACACACACCTTTGGTCTTCAGGGGCAGTGGTGAGACAATTCCAGTGGATCAATGAAAAGTCATCATCCTTGTTTGAGTGTTCTAAAGTGCATTTTTCAAATGAGTGATTTGGAAGTGTCATCTCTGACTATGGCAAGGAGCCCTTTTTAGATTTTAAAGGCCTATGAATTTCAGTAACACTATGGCAACATGGAAACAAATGAGACATTTATTTTTTTTTGTCACAGTCAAAATCCGAAACAGATTTCAAAGAGGGTTTTTGGCTCCTCTCTCTTTCCGTTTTTTATTTTTTGTTTGTTTGTTTTTTTTTAATGATTACAATAGACATTTATTTAACGTAAAACATTTACAGACAAAATAATTCTTAAATTTTATGTTTCAGGTTTTACCATCTTCATAAAAATACTTGGAGGACAGCTGCATTCACAGACGTCAAATACGTGATGACTTCTTTGACCATTCTTCTCAGTCTTTTCTTTCCCAAATAAGCACTTTCAGATACGGTTCAAGGTAGAATTATCCTCTTCGTGTTTGGTCCGCTGCTCTTAAGGCAAGATCTGCTGTCTCAGAGTCAGATCCAGGGTTCTGATGTAAAACATCCTGCCATTAGAAAGTCCTCTTACAGCTTCCTTTACGTCTTTATCCTTTTACATCGTCTCAGCTCACGTTTACCCATTTCTTGAATCCTGCAGCATTGTAATATCATTTTCAAATACGATCCAGCCACCTGTCTGCCGCTGCAGTAGCCGACCTGCCAGCCATCTTCACCCAAACGTGAAATATTGCCTTCTCTCTCTCTTTTTATTTATTTATCTAATTTATTTTATTTTATTTTTGAGATGGAGTTTTCGCTCTTGCTGCCCAGGCTGCAGTGCAATGGCACAATCTCAGCTCACTGCAACCTCTACTTCCCAGGTTCAAGTGATTCTCCTGCGTCAGCCTCCCAAGTAGCCAGGACTACAGGCATGTGCCACCATGCCCAGCTAATTTTTGTATTTTTAGTAGAGATGGGTTTCACCCTGTTAGCCAGGATGGTCTTGATCTCCTGACATCTTGATCTGCCTGCCTCCGCCTCCCAGAGTGCTGGGATTACAGGTGTGAGGTACCATGCCTGGCCTCTCTTTTTAAACTTTGTTGTTTGAAAATATAATTTCAGAATGTAAGTGAGAAGAATGAGTAGGAGATTTTTTAAATTACTCAGAAGCCAAAAAGACATCCCCAAATTGTTGGGTGTTTTCTTTCTGAAGGTACAGCTTTATCTTCTGCTTAAAAAGTCTTAGACTTGATGGCTTTTGGTCAAAGATCATTACAAGGTTTACAAACTCTACACTCAATAGTGTAAGAAAAAAATATGTACATGTAGAAAAAAATGCGGGAAGAAAATATGCTCAACTATTCACAGTTGATAGTTATTGCTGAGTGGTATGAATGTGGCTGATTATTCCTTCCTTTGTATACTTTTCTGTGTTTAACGCAATGGACATATATAAGTTTATTTAAAAAACAGTTTTAAAAAATATTTATAAAACATTACTAGAAGTACAAACTAGCACTAATTTCAGAGCATGAAAAAAGTTACTCTTTGCAAAACAATTTCACAAATGACCAGCAATATCATTTTGGTGTCTAAAATTATTAATTCCAAGTTTTTAAAGGAGCTAATACAGAAAGAAAGACCGAAAGTTACATACATGTCTAATTTACCTTTGTTTTTCCCCTCAATTTGATCTTAAATGAATAGATTCAAGTAACCCCCTACCCCTCGCCAAGAAACAGGTGCTTCAAAGGCCAAAATAAAATATCGTATTTAAGGTTATCCAGTTCTAGAACTCTGTAACTCAGTCCGCCTTGACTTGAGTAACCCTATGACATCACGTTGGGAGTGTAGCTGTGAGCATGGTTTGGGAGTAGATGCCATATTGGTTGATCTGTGTAAGCTGACCCAACAGGGTTATCTTCATTGATTCCATGCAATTATCCTATAATATGTATTTAGTATAGCCAACTTGTTTAATAATTTTGATGGAAGACTTAGTCCTAAAGATTGATATCTAGTTTTGAGTCACAACCCTCCAATATAGGGTAGACTAGGTATAAATTTAAGCCTCACAGTTGTATATCTGGGCCTTGAGTAATTTTGCTCCATGGCTCACTGAGGATGTGGTAAGGGGAAGTCTACAATTTCAGCCTATTTAATTGTGTTCGTATAAACATCATCCTATTAATAAAGTCATGATTTCTGCCCAGTTGCCATCTTCCAAGAGAGCAAAAAGAGAAGTATTTGCTTCTTCCCAATTGTTAAGTTTTACTCTTACTATTCCAGCCTAAAGCCCAAGTATAATTTGCCTGGGCTAATTATTAAAGTCAGTTTCTGTACTTTCAGCACGAGCCAGAAGTGGAGGTAGGAGGTCAGGGGAATGGGTAAATGATCCTGAAACTGTCATTTACTCTAGATAAGCTAGAATTAGCTAGCTAAATCCTGCCAAGAGTTATAGTTCTCACTTTTAATGACTTCCTTAATAATATTTTTAAAGGGACCACACAGATGCTTCAAAATGTGTGCTGTAAAAAGGAATGGGGAAGAATTCTATATACTGATATGGAAGAATCTGTAGAATATTTTGTTAAGTGAGAAAAGCAAGGTGCCAAACCATGAAATGGTATGCTATTTTGGGGGCAAAAAGGGAGAGAAATATGAATGTGTGTGTGTGTGTGTGTGTGTGTGCGTGCGTGCATGTGAATGTGCTTATATTTGTGAAAAGACACACTGGTAGGATAAGCCAAAAATTAATTAAATGTTTATGAGAGAAGGAAGAGAACAGGTTGGAATTGGGAAGGACTGATGCTTTCTCTGAGGGTACCTTAGAATCAAATTTTGGCCTTGGAAACATTCCTGTTTTATATGTTGAAAAAAATAAAAGTAAATCAAGAGAAAATTGACAGCAGATACATTTCACACAAGCTTTTTTCTGACTTGGTCCCCTTTTATTCTGAGGAAAGAATTTGAGGCAGCTTAAATCAGAGCACAGATATATACCTTATGCATTTTGACAAATTTTGATTTGTCTTTAACTGCTAGAGAATAAAACCATTTGGAGGGACTCTTGCCAGGGCAACTGTGTAATCTGCTGGCATTGGGCATTGGTAACTAATAACTCACTCTTTCCTCTGAAAAGTGACCTAAAAAACAAGAGTGAGTTTTGGGACAGATTCTGCCTGTGCCCCTGAGAAATGACACCTCCACAAGCTGGCTTTCAGGACTCCCGAAGCAATGTACTTTATACATGTAAGCATTTGATGATTTGCTGACTTATATTTGGCTCATAACGATACAACATAAAAGATGAACATATACGTAATTCATCCTGGCTCTGCAAACCTGAGGTCTGGCAATGCTTAACGAGGAGAATGAAATGAAGAGCTGCAACTAAGACTAAAATATAATTACTTTTCGTTCTCCTTTTTCCCTCTTTCCTCAACTTCTGATTGTTTTGTTTAAATGACCAGAATAAGATAGAATGGCTGTAACTGAAAATATTTATCACACCTGTAATCTCAGCACTTTGGAAGGCCGAGTCGGGTGGATCACCTGAGGTCAAGAGTTTGAGACCACCCTGGCCACAAAAATCAGCTGGGCATGGTGGCACACACCTATAATCCCAGCTACTCAGGAGGCTGAGGCAGGAGAATCTCTTGAACCTGGGAAGTAGAGGTTGCAGTGAGCCAAGATCACACCATTGCACTTCAGCCTGGGCAACAGGAGCGAAACTCCATCTCAAAAAAAAACCCAACAACAATAATAAAGCTTATGTTATTATCCTTGACACCTATTCAAAACCTTTTTAATTTTCCACTGTCTATAAGAGATACTATTTAACTATATAAAAGTCAGGTAATAAAATACATTTATCTCTTTCTAATCAGGCAGTGAGGCATAAACTGTTGGGGCATACCACTCGGGGCCACTGCTGTTTGGGATTAAAACACTGGCATTGCGATCTGTACGGAGAGCCGTCATATTCTTGCTTCTTTTCCCAGTCACTGCCCCAGCATTCTTGCTGTTCTCTTCCATTTAATATTTTGGCAGAGTCAGGGCTGTATTCCTTTCTATTTCTAGAGTATAAGTCTGATATCTACCACAAAATATTAAATTACTGAGTTTGAAACTATTTAGAGGAGGGATTCCCAACCCCTGGGCCATGAACAGGTATAGATCTGTGGCATGTTAGGGGCTGGGCCACACAGTAGGAGGTGAATGGCGGGTGAGCAAGTGAAATTTCGTGTGTATTTACAGCCACTCCCATCGCTCACATGACCACCTGGGCTCAGCCTCCAGTCAGATCAGCGGTGGTGTTAGAGTTTCATAGGAGCATGAACACTATTGTGAACTGCGCATGTGAGGGATCTCGGTTGTGGGCTCCTTTTGAGAATATAATGCCTGATGATTTGTCACGATCTCCCATTACCTCCAGATGGGACCGTCTGGTTGCAGGAAAACAAGCTCAAGGATCCTACTGAGTCTACATTATGGTGAGTTATGTAATTATTGTGTCTTATTATGTAATAAAAATAGAAATAAAGTGCACAATAAATATAATGTGCTGGAATCATCCCGAAACCACCCTGCCCCCAGTCTGTGGAAAAATTGTCTTCAATGAAACTGGTCCCTGGTGCCAGAAAGATTGGAGACCACTGATTTAGAGTACTGTTACATCTCCTTTTACCCTCCACCACCTGCATCCGTAAAGGCAGTAATAGACACTAAATAATACATTTGGAGTTGATGTTTTATGTTTTTATGTTTGACCTCCAAGCCGGCAAGTGTGTTATCCTTTCTATTATATAGTTAATACTAATCGGACATCTTTAGCGTTTTGATAATATGTGGAAATCAGATTCTCTTGCTTCTCAGGCTTCACTATCCCAGAGAAAAGGTAGACAAACAATCGTACTTTAAATTGTTACTGCACTCTAATCAAATCTGTTTTCTGTTTTCAGTGTTGTTAATTATATTTTAGTAGGTATCAATTCATCAAATAAGTAGTGCGATTTTAGCTTTTATTTTTATTTTTTTGAGACAGAGTCTCATTCTCTCGCCCAGGCTGGAGTGCAGTGGTGTGATCTCAGCTCACTGCAACCTCTGCCTCCCAGGTTCAAGTAATTCTCCTGCCTCAGCCTCCTGAGTAGCTGGGATTACAGGTGTGCACTACCACACCCGGCTAATTTTTTGTATTTTCAGTAGAGACAGGGTTTCCCCATATTGGCCAGGCTGATCTCAAACTCCTGATCTCAGTTAATCTGCCCGAGTCAGCCTCCCAAGATTCTGGGATTACCAAAGCTCTGGGATTACCAAAATTCTGGGATTACTGCTGTGAGCCACTGTGCCCAGCCCTGATTTTACCTTTATATTAAGCATGTAGCTTACCCCTAAGTTTCTTTACCCCCAACCCCCAAGCAATTTTTATGCTTGAAAATGTTCCTGATTTCAAGATGGTATCCCCCTACTTTATTTCATAATTTTACTTGTGACTCAATAATTTGATTGGTTGGATAATGTTGCTAATGGAACCAGTGTCATTTTTTTTCTCTATATAAATTGGTTAACTTTGTTTTAATTCATTTAGCAATCTCTTTTGAGTGGCTACTGTGTGCCAGGCATGCACAAGTGCAGGGCAAAAAGTGCTGCGCAAACCAAACATGATCCCCCAAGCCTGGGAACAGGGCAAGATGAGCTCTCTCATCACTCCTGTTCAACACCAGAGTGGAAGTCCTAGCCGATGCAATCAAGCAAGCAAAGGAAATAAAAGGCATGTACAGTGGAGAGAAAGGACTATTTAGTTCACAGATGATGGGATAGTTTGCATAGAAAATTTCAAAGCTTCAACAGGATAGCTACCAGAACTAATACGTGAACTTAGCAAGATCACAGGATACAGTTTCATTGTCTCATTTTATCTTTAAAGCAATCCCATGAATTTGCTACTATTATTTTTTGGGGGGAGGGATGTAGGAAAACAGAAGCATAAACACAAAGGTTAAGCGAACTGTCTTAGATCTTACAACTAACAAGCAGCAAAGTTGGTACTCCAACCCAGAAATACATGACAAAAAATATTAATCACCATGCCAGGGCATTTTAAATTTGGTATGCTTAAAATGCAAAGTCTCAGCCCTTACCCAGAGATTGTGATTCAGATGGTGGAATAGGGGTAGGTCCTGGGGAGCTGTGTGTTCACAAGCACCCTGGGAGATTCTCATGCAAGCTGTTCAGAGAACCTGTCATTATATGGACTATATATTTCCTATGCACATACAGTATTCTATTCATATACTATTTCACACGGTACCTCTAACCCAGGAAAAATGATCTCTCAGTCGAAGCTCAGTGTGATAGAAACCAAACCAACCTTTTTCTGGTGGCATCAGTGGATTTAAAGAGAAGCTAAACAAACGTAGAAGGGCTGGTAGAATCCACATTTGAGAAGGCAAGGAAGAAAAGGCAGCATTTCAAAGGGCTGATCCCTCTGTGAGACCCACAACTGAGTTGTTTTTTTTTTTTTTTTTTTTTTTTTTT